AAGTTGTAGGTGGCTTGAATGAAAGGTAATAAAAACACCTAGAGCCAGGAGCTTTACCTACCACAACAGAGTCTATTTTTACCCAGAAGCAGCTGCCTGTGCACATGGGCCCTCCTGGGGTTACAGTTAAAAAGCAATTGAAAAGAAGGAGAGAGTAACATAGGGTCAGAGAACCCAAACACTGCTACTGCCTTAAAGCATGGTGGTGCTTGTGTGCTACACAAGATGTCTTCTGTGTCTGGAGCTCAAGGCAAATTCAGCAGACAATTTTTTTTAACAAGTTCCTTTTGTGCGTCTCTGTGGCTTCACTTGCTTTTTCCAAATCAGACTATTAATGCCACTCATGCTTCAGAGGGCGATGTCATGAAATTGCTGCTTCCAGGGTCATTTGCCTGAGAGAGAGGGTGATGTCTAACCCTGAGGAATGGCCCTTCCATATTTAACAGGTTCTGTAACCTACAGGGTTCCCATGTAGGCCCACTTTGTGGCAGAGACTCTCCCCTCTCCAACACCCAGACTGGGCTTTGACAGTGTGCAATGTTAGCATCCTTTTTTTGGTTTTTACTCATGATCCTTTGTCTACTTTTCAAACTCAGTGTGTCCCTTTTCTAATGTTGCTGACAATGTTTTCCTACCATGAGCATCTTAAATCTGGGAAGCCCAAGCTTTAACTTGCATAGCTATGTTGTTGCCTTCTTGGAGTTTAGGGTACTTAGTAATTGCATTTCACACTATTCCTCCGGAATTCTGTTGTTAACAGAGGCCTTCTGGTCAGTCAGAAGATGAGCTTGTATTTGTGTCAAAACCATCTCCTTCTTAACAAGTCAGAAATTCATCAGCTCTGGGTGCTTCTCAGGGGCCAGGGATATGCTTCTTTCTTCATTGATCCTGTTAAGTGACAAGATCCTGTCTTTTGGGGTGAAAAATATCCATGTGATTATATGCTTTAATTTATCCTGCAATGATCATATTAGCTCTGTCGCCTTCTTACATTCTGTCATCTGGGCCCCACTGAGTGGTGAGGCTATTACCCTTCTCAGGAAGGCTCTGACTTACTCATCAAGGGGGGGGGGCTACTTCCTGTCCATACTGCTGTGTCTCTCTGGAAGCTTTCCAATGGGGACATCCATCCTTTACAAATTGATTTGCTCTGTCTTGGCCAGCATGTAATTGCAATTCCAATTGCTTCTTCTGTAGGCCTTCTACAAAATTCCATTTATTCTCTCCTGAGCCTGCCTTCCTTGTTGTCTAATAGTTGCTTTTTAGTTTTGTTTATTTGCTTTGACAAAATTTATCTTAACCAAGCTCACTGACCCTTCAAGGTCCTATTCATTTTCCAGCTCTTCCAGGAAGCTTACCTGAACTACATTAACTGACTCAAAAGTTATAGTATAGGTTCTAATTGGGTCCTTAACTATTGAACACCTGCATTAGAGCATAGTGGTTAAGGTCACAGGCCTTTGAGATAGATTCCCTGAGTTTTAAAGCTGCTTGATCTTGGGGCAAGTTATTTAATATATATATTTTAATCCTCACCTGAGGATATATTTATTGATTTTGAAAGAGAGAGAAGAAACACTGATGTGAGAGAGAAACAGCAATGGGTTGCCTCCTATATGTGAGATTAACCAGGGATTAAGCTTGCAGCCTAGGTATGTGCCCTGACCTGGAATCAAACCTACAACCTTTTGGTGTACAGGACAATGGTCCAATCAATGGGTCATCTGGTCAGGGCTATTTACCATTTTAAAATTCAATTTCTTCATTGGTAAAATGAGTCCAGGAATAACCTTTTTTGTCACCACTACAGAGTCCATCTATGGTGACATGCATAGTAGATGCTCAAGAACATAGGAAGTGCTTCTATTTGCCAATGATGAGTTTACTTTAGAAAATATTTCCCTGCTACTATAGGATAAAGTTTCTTATAAATGTTAATAGTCCGTAGGTTAAAATTTTATGGCACCCATACTAAGGATTATGGAGTAATAGATTACAATCTCAAAGTTTCTGAATTAAGTATGTATAATATATGTTATACAGGGGTGGACAGAGAGACCAATACAATCTTGGAGCACAAATCAGGGTAAGAACAACTGTCATATATGTACCTGACAGATGACAAAAGAACGAATAGTACATTGACAAAAAAGTGGTAAATTATATTATTTATAAAAATATTCAGAGTGGCTGACTTTTCTCATGAATGATATTAAAGTGAATCTAAACACACTTTTAGGAAATTTTCTTTATGTATTTGTCCAATGGATTTTTCCAGTAATTTTCTTGATCATGTTTGATCATAGACATATAAATGAGCATTGATTTAGTGGCAAGAATTTTTCCAGGGAACTTGTTTTGATGTTGTTTAAGGAGAGTTACTGGTTGGTCCCGACTTCGCCCATTCATTAGATCAAAGCATTCCATTTCACCTTCTCCCATTCTCCCTTTTATATAGTCCCCCCCCCACCGTCTCGCCCTCCCACAGCCCGCCCATGCTTTGCTCATTATTTCTAGCTTGAGTTCTGTCATAAGTGAGGAACTGTGGAAGTGTAAGACCTTATACTCCCAAACAAAGAAATGATTAAGATGATTCTCAACAATTCTGAAAGTTAGCCTATTTCCTCTGACATCCCATTGACTCTTTCGATGTTGATGGTGGTGGTGGAAGAAACAATATATTGATGTTAAGTAGGTATTGCCTTTATGTGTGGTGGTGTTATAATCAATAATGTATAAAATTTCATGCTATTTTCATACTATCACAATCAAAATTTATGTTTAACCCCATTTTACTCTAGCATTCAAAGGTTCTCAGCCACTGGCCTTCATAAATGTCATGGTGGTATATTGCTCTTCTTGCTTGTAATCCCATCCTTTTTAGGATTTGGAATACAGTCCTATTGAGAGTACTAGAGTTTTGTCGCATTTCCACTTTCTTTCTGGTTGAATTTATATCTATATCTATATTATCTATATAACACAGGGGTTGGCAAAGTAGGTTACAGTTGTTCATATGGAAAATAATACAATAATTAATGAATAATAATACAAAAATACATTCTGTGTTTCACATACAATTTTACACTTACTTTTGCCTATCTCTGTATAATATATATTATTGAATATATTCAATATATAATTGAATTAATGAAAAGCTATATAAAATACTAATTATATTACATATAATTATATATTAATTATATTATCTATTATATTTATGAATTACATTATATGTTATATATAATTATATTACATTTATAGAATTCAGTTAATTATTTCATATACCATATATAATTTTTAATTAATTTAATTATATATTGAAAGTCAATCAAAAGGTTTCTCTCAGTTAGATGTCCTAGCTTAAATATCAGTCTTCATGACATACAAGGTCTGTCCAGAAGGTATCCAACCATGTAATGTGAAAAATAGAGACATTTATTGAAGAAGATACAAGATACAAGAAACATTGTACATAAGACAGTGATGCCTCAGTCCCCTTCAAAGTAGACACCTTGGGACCTCACACAGTTCTCCCAATCACCATCAGCTGCTCCATTATATTTTCCTGAATCTCACTGACAGTCTGAAATCTCTTCCCTTTCAAAGGAAATTTTAGTTTTGGGAAAAGCCAGAAGTCACAGGGCACCAAATCTGGGGTGTAGGGTGCACTGATTCACCTGGGTGATTTAATATTTTGCCAAAAAACAAGGCACAACATGTGATGCACAACATGTGGGCATGCTGTCATGATAAAGCTGCCAGTCAACAGTTGCCCATAGCTGTGGCCTTTTGAATCATCCAAATAGTTTCCATGGAGGAATGTTTAAGCTTAACACAAAATTTGATGCAGATTTGATTGCTTTACTCACTTAGTCAGTTTGAATGTGATGGCCAAACAATACACATGCTCACTCAATGGCGTCTACTACCCCCACTGACTAGTCAGTGAAGTTGTCTTTGTTCACACATGCACATTCCAGCCCACTCTCCTGGGCTGCCAGGTTACTTGATGTTGCACAAAACATTCTTGTTAAATTAACAATGGCTGGACTTTTTCTGGATAGACTTCGTATATGCTCAACATTCCAATCTCTACTAACTTCAAAATTTTTAAGGTATTTTGAGTGATTTAGTAAGTTCCATTGCCTTTCATCATGTTGCCTGTATGAAATGAATTACTGTGAACTAAATTAAACATTTTAAAAAATCAATGCTGTATTCAATGTAATTTTTTGAAGATGTTTTAAGCCAAAACTTGGAATCCTAATTTAAGTTAAAAATTCAATAGTGTTGGTTTCAATAATAGAAACAACACAACTGAGGTGGCTGGATGAACATTCACCTTCGAATGTTCACCAGTTTGCACATGTGCAGGCAGTGATGACTATTGGCACTCCACAACTTATTCTGCTGCCTGGAGGTTGTCCGATATCTTTCTAGACATTTACTACAGTAGAAGTGCAATTGCAGAAATGTTACAATGGAAAACATTATATTCTAGAAACAAGAAAGCATGGAGGATAACTTTGTTAATCAAGCGTGGTGAACTTCTCATTTCTGTCCTGCTCCCAAAGATGTGTTAGAGTTATTTATATTGGTTTACCATATATCTATGGCCCTTAAAAGATGTAAGGGTTTGAAAGCCATGAATACTAGTGATGTTAGGTGTGACCAAAATAAAGGCTACCAAGTTGGCTGAAAAGCTTGGTGGGAGTTTTGCTACCCTCTGGTTCCTCAGGGGTGCCTTACTGTTAAGGTATCAAAAGCTTTCCCCTTGTTCACCAAGCCCGTTGTCCTGCCCAGGGAAAGAAATGCAGTTGGTGGAGCATTTTGTGGATCTGTCTTGTTCCTCTAGACAAAGAAGGGAAAGCCCAATACCTGACACCTGGAGAGCTTGAGCTTCTGAATGAAAAAACACCATGAATTTGAATGAAGATAAGAGAACGGGGCAGTGAAAGATATTCCAGCGGTGAGGGATTGTCTGTGCTGGCGGCTGCCCATCCCTCTTATCTCACCTAATGGCGGGTCCTTGCCAATGTTTATTTGGCCATTGCCATTCACCAGCTGCTCCTCTACCATGTTGTTTTTCTTCCCAGATGGCAACACGATGTTCCACGATAAAACTGACACAAAAAACAATGCAAAATTTGTCTAAGAGAGGTTCAGCAAGCATGAGAAAAACATCTGATATCGCTCAGAGCCCGCCAAGTTTGCGGCTCACAGTGCCAGAGTAATTATGGGATGATTTGAGCAGAGGCAATGCATGGGGAAGCCTCTTCCAAATGTATCAGGTAGGTTTCCAGAAGAGGCAAAACATTCGGTTCTCTCAGTCCTCTGGCACTGTGACAGAATCGATGAGTGCAGCCTGTGGGTCCCAGAAGCCTCCTACAGTACTGAATTCCTGCTTTACCCCATGCCGCCTAATTAATGGCCCACTATTTAAAAAACTCTTTTATTCAATTAGATTCTGCTTTCACTAAGATAAACACTCCTGCTATCAAAATCCTGGGAAACCAACATTTATAGCCTGTCTTCTTGCCAAAGCATCTGTTTTTCTGTCGCCCCTGGTCCCTTATTCTCTGTCCAGTCTTCATGTGGCTGTTTGGTTCCACAAAAATTAACTGCTATTTTGAGGATTAATATGAAAGGAGAGGGTGCCCCTGCCATCTTGTTACTCAGAGGGCTATTTGTCCCTTAGCCTCTACATGAGAACACAAAATAAAGAGAATCATTTTATTATTATTGATTGCAAAGAGCCACAGATGTTATTTAAAATGGGGCATTTCGTATTCACCACTATTCTTCAAACTATTCCCTTTTATGTGGGTTATCATTACTACGCTCTTTGTCAGTTCAGATTTTTAGATGAAATGCTAGAGAGCTCTTTTTAATTTAGCCATGCGCCTCTTCATTTGACACAGAACTGTCTCCTAGTGGTGATTGCATTCATATCTGTTTGGTTCGATTTTTCTGTTTTCAGTCTACTTGACTTATATTAGAGACAATACCAAGAAAAAGTTTTTAAAAAATGCCGTCTAGCATTTAAAGAATCTGCCCCAAAGTGGCTGCACTGTGGAATTGTTGGCTTTAAACTGTTGATGACAAAACTATAGAAAGTGTCCAGTAATCTGGACATTTGTGAAAAACACTATTTTCATGAATAAATTCATCCTTTCTGACATATGAGTAGTATAATAATTGATTGATAAGATTTAAAAACAGACTTTGCATTCATTTGGTTTGGGAAGGAGGTTTTCATTGTAGCTAGTACCCCACACCCTGGGAAAGGAAGAGGAAAAGGCTCCAAGTTCCTGAATAAGACCTGAGTTTGGGTTTTGTCTGTGCCATTAACATTGGATAAGTTGGCTTCACCTCCCAAAATCTCTATTTCGTAATTTATAAAATAGAGATATGAATAATTACCACTAAACAGCTGTTGTGAAGGTTAAATGGCAGATACAAACAGTTTTGTGAATTGTAAAGCATGGCACCACCACCAGGTATCAATGGGGCATCAATGGCATGCTTCTCGGTATAGCTGTGTCTTCATGAAGTCTTCCTTTTCCTTAGACTATCCATTTCCTCTAGTAGAGAATTTCTTTTTTTTTTAAAAAGATAATAATTTGTTATTGCAGGGTCAGAAGTCCTGGGAAGATAGGGCAGTGCAGATTTTATGACTGTGGTGGACATTTGACATGCAAAGGGCAGAGGAGAGATCTGCATATATTAGCATTTGAGGTCACACTGATTCAGTTTTGTTGGAAGCAATGTCATTTGACATTTCAGCCTTTTTGCAGGACACATTATTGGGCATTTTCCAAGGCAGCAAGAGCTTAACTCTTCCTTCTGATGAAATCACTTGATTGTCTTTATACAGGTGAAATTAATATAATGTGCATATTCTAGTTTATATTCATGGTGGGTACAAATGATTACACTGGGCAGAGCCAGGTCAGGTTGAAGATTCTCAGAATATTGAGAGACAGGTTGCTCTCAGTAATCCATACCTGTTGGGGTTAATATTCATCTAGACTAGAGCAGTGGTTCTCAATCTTGGCTTAAAAAAATTCTCTACAGTGAAACAATAAATTTCTGTGGCTCTAGGCCACCTAGTCATGGTGCTTTGTTCCTGCAGTCTGAGGAAATGAATGCAGTATATACTCAGTAAATTTTGATAAAATTGCATGAGTCTTCTACTGTTTCCCATGGACTGCCACACTTTTCAGAACACCCTGATCAAGTAGTGCTCTTGTCATTCTCTTTCTGCATGTGAGCAAACTGAGGCCTATAGAGGTTAACTAAGGTCACATCTGCCTGCCTCCTTAGCCAGAGCTCCTAAGCCCTGCACCGTGTGGTCTGTGTATATGCTGTATAATAGGCATATATGGAAAGAGGAATTTGCCATGAGTAAGAAGCACAATGCACACAAAGAGTACTCAACTAGGGAGCCCAGTATCTGGAATGTCAAATATTCAACCTATCATACTTAGTTTAAAGATCTTCTCCCCAACCTCACACTCCATAAATCCCAGCCTGACTCAGGCTCAGAAAGCTGCAGTGGGGAAAGAGGATATGTGATCTATCTTTGCCTTGCATATTCCACTTTGTCTCACGTAAGTTCGGGATGAGGTGAGGGAGAAGTGGGGAAGGAGAAGTAAAAGTTCTTAATTAGTACAGTGGTCACATGACTCTGTGGCCCTCCAAGTGTCAGGTGGAAGATTTCTTTGATTCCCTAGAGACTCTAATTGCTCCCTGGCAGTGGAGATGTACTCTCTGGCTCACTCTGGTCCCAGTTCTTTCCATTGGAGTCACCTAACCCTGGAGGGTGACCTCTTGGGCATGGTCCACTGATAGTAACTCAAGTTCCACTACTTCCCTTGGCATCCGTTCTGGCTCAAAGGAGGCATTTGGCTCTTTAGTATCATCAACTCTGGAAGTGCAGGTTGGTCCTGCCAAAAGCCTCTCTTTTTAGCTACAAAAGGTCACAGTTTCTGCTCTCTTTCTAGACTAGAATCAGTTTCCAGTTTCTATCCTCCAAGCTCTACAAGCGTTGCATGCTGAGCCTTCTGAGAGGTTTTACTGGAGCTCCTTCATTTGGCCTGAATGGTTATGCTGGGAAACATCCTGATCTGTGTGGATTTTAAAGTGTTTTATGATGTCATTATAAATGAAATCTTGCTAATGACTGTTATTATGACTAGAATATCAAAAATATTGGTATAATGTAAATGTCCATGTTCTAATCCATGGATCCTTTATTTTAAATATTTTAATCATTTTGAGTAACTTAGCTATTCTTACTTAACATCCAATATATTCCAGGCACTGCACTAGGATAAGGTGGGTAGCTGCAATTCCTAAATTCATGTCCAACAAATTCCTTTGGACACTAGCCTGGTGTGCTTGCTCATGAACTTGAGTGAGTGCTAGAGACTGGGAAGAACACTAGGCAGAGAGACTGAGTTCTGAGTGTGTGCACTTGTATGGCTGTGCCATCAGCCAAGATGAACACTGCTGCCCAGGCACAGGCTCTTCCCAGGGCTAAATGCAGAGAAGCCAATCTGACTGGGCATCTCCCGTGTACATGTGAAAACTTGAAGAGGTCATGCTGCAGCTTGAGGGACAGCCTTGGACAAATAAGCACAACACAAGTGACATTTTATGCTGGATTAACATTTTGGACCAAGCATTATACTAGCTTGGATTATATATCACAGAAAAAAATGTGGTTTGGTAGACAGGGCATGTGCCAGATCATCTCTGTACGCATCTCAGCTTTACAATTTAGTGAGATGTGTGGCCTTGCACGTATTTATTAAACTCTCAAAGTTTCAGTTTCTTTACATGAAAAATATGGATAATAAAACTTAGTGCACACACACCCACTATATTTAACTAGCTTGCTTTTTTTCTCTTGTGCCATATATGATTTAATAAAAATAGATAAAATAGATAAAATTTATGATCAGGTAAAATGCAGAGTAAAGTTGGGTAGTAGAGATTAGGGGAAGATTAACTATAATAATATACTCTGTATACTTAAAAATATATATTGAAAACCCTGTAAATTGTGAGGTTCTGTTCAATATTATAATATTGAATTTATGTTAATAATATTTTATATATATATATATATATATATATGTATATAGGTTCTAGGTATCATTATTGATTAACACACTCTCATACCCTGGATGGGTGACTCAGTTGGTTGGAACATTGTCACTGACACCAAAAGGTTATGGGTTTGATTCCTGGTCAGGGCACATACTTAGGTTGTGGGTTCAATCTTTGGTCAGGGAGTATAGGAGGCAACTGATTGGTGTTTCTCTCATTGAATTTGTCTTTCTCTCTCTCTGAAATCAATAAGCATATCCTCAGATGAGGGTTTAAAAAATATACTCCCACTAAATTTGGATTTTAAAAATACCTGAAATTTATGAAGAATTTCTGAAATGAATATTATTCACTGCGAAACTGATTTTTAGAAAGAGAATTATACCCAGAATTCTAAAGACTCAGGAAAACTTCTGAGTTCCACATGGTACCTTCCGTTCTTTCTGGAGATTTCTTTATTTCATATTTCAGTTTTTGCAAAACTCTTTATTCTGCTTTCTTAGTAACAGACTAATTTGGTCCCCACCAATCATGTCTTTACCAATCTTTAGGTCTGAAGGACATTAGTTTCTCTCCAAAACACATGGCTCTTTTGTCCCATTGCCTTACACACACAGGCATACACCCCTCCCCTTATCTGCAGTCTGAGAATTTGGAATGCTTAATAAATCACAGTGATTGAGTAGGGAGTTCTTAGGTCAGTAGAAAATTGTCTAATTTGTCTCTGGAAGAAAAAATCTGAATTACCTTTCAGAGTATTTGTTTAGTGTTAAATGATTTTAGAGTGTGGGTAAAGTTTTCCTTTGCATAGCTGCAGGGCTTACTATGCTAAGAGCACAGTATAATTGTGTATTTATTCAACAAACACTTATTTAATACCTACTAGATATCAGTCAGCATTCTAGGAATATTTCAATGATCAAAAAAAGATAAGATAAAAATCCTTCATTGAGTTAACATTT